GTCTGTGTGTGGTCTGCGTGAGGCGATGGTGGGGTCTGCGTGAGGTCTGCGTGATGTCTGTGTGTGGTCTGCGTGAGGTGTGTGTGGGGTCTGCGTGAGGTCTGCGTGATGTCTGTGTGTGGTCTGCGTGAGGTGTGTGTGGGGTCTGCGTGAGGTCTGTGTGATGTCTGTGTGTGGTCTGCGTGAGGTGTGTGTGGGGTCTGCGTGAGGTCTGTGTGATGTCTGTGTGTGGTCTGCGTGAGGTGTGTGTGTGTGGTCTGCGTGAGGTCTACATGAGGTCTGCGTGAGGCCTGCATCAGGTCTTTGTGAGGTCACAGTTAAGGCAGTGTGAGGCTTTGTCAGGCTAGCGCATGGTTCGTGTTAAGGCTCTGTAAGGGCTGTGTGCAGTTCTCTGCGGAAGATGACGACCAGTCTGGATTTGAACAGAATTCCCCACAATTACATCCAAGCATTCTACATGCCTGAAGAATGAAGAATGTGTGCCTGTGTCAATGTGTGTGTGTGTCCCACAATGTAATAAAAACCTATTATTTTGATATTGTGGGGACCATTTTTCAATGCAAACATGCACCTTTGCTGGGGTGTAACTGAATATCACTGCTGATCCAGCCTGGGGGCCTTTCTCAGCAGGACAGCAGTTGCTCTGGGACCCCCTCAATCCCCCACTAATCCACCCCCCGCAAACTGAGCACGGGCTCTCGTCCCAGCAGGCGTGGGGGGTCCCAGCAGCCCCATCTTGGCTGCGGTTCTGAAGCAGATTTATTTTCTTGTGTGTTTTAATTCCACCCTCCTCTTTCTGCACTCCCATAGTTACTGCAGGCCCTGCTTTCAATGGGGGGTGGGGGCATGCTCTGACCCTCAGGCTGAATGAATAAAGGCCTCGGAGATCTCGGATGGCACAGTAAGGATCCTCTTCCCGAGGGCAAGTTTAGTCTAACGGCTCAGGCCCCAGCTCATCTGGCGAGATCTAAGCCACCTACGGGCATCCAGGTGCCGTCCGTGAGGGGCACTGCCCAATCCAGCAAGGGTGCCATG